TATTCGGAGTAATTTCTGTTTTTCATGATTTTTATTCACATGCATGTGTATGTATGTATGTACTTATAAGTGTGTCTGCGCGCGCGCGTGTATATATATATACATATATGATTTTGACATGCCTAAAACTATAATAACTATAATTATATATATATATATATATAAATCTGTGTGTGTGTGTGGCAACAGAGAAATATGTCTTGAAGAAATTGGGAAGCAGTTGGAACATATCGGCATGAGGAATGCAAACATTAACATTTATGTTTATAGCAGATAATTCTTATAGGAGTTTGACGACGTGATGGCATGGAATCGACAATGAGGAAATGGCTGCATTCAATCATATACATATTTAACTCTAAGTATGATTGGTTTTATTTGTTATTTATTTGGAAGGGGGAGAACTAAAAGCTAAAAGGTTGGGGGCCAAAGACTAGAAGGGGAAATGACAAACAACAAAAGAATTTAAGTGGACGAGCTTTTAATGGGTTACATTACTTTTTAGTCATAAATGCTCATGCCTTTTTTAGCATATAAATAGACAAATTATAGAAGGAAGGAGGGGGATTCCTCGTCCCTGCCTAGTAGGTAATATGAGATTTACCATAAGAAGAAAGTCATCCTTGGTCTTCATAGCGGGCGCTCAACGAAATCTTCTTTTGTGTTGCGGTGCAGAAGAAAGTCATCATGTGTGGCAAATGGCCAATGGGATATTCTTTCGTGTTGCGGCAAAAAAGAATGTTGTCCCTGTCCTGCATAGCAAGAGACCAACGAGATTTTCTTTTATGTTGTTGTGAAGAAGAAAGTTGTCCCCGTTCTGCGTAACAGTCAACCAACATGATTTTTTTTCGTGTTGTGGCATAGAAGAAATTCATTCTCGTTATGCGTAACACACAACCAACAAGATATTTGTGTTGTGTCGTAAAGGAAAGTCGTCCACGTCCCGTGAATCAGGCGAGCAACATGATCTTTTTTCACGTTGCAGCACGGAGGAACTTCGTCTCTGTCCTGCGCAGCAGACGAGCAACAAAGTCTTCTTTCATGTTGTGACGCAGAGAAAAGCCGTCCCTGTCCTTTATAGCAGGCGAGCAACAGGATCTTCCCACTATTTACTGCTGCGCATTTTGATGGAGATAAAGAAATGTTGGAGTTTTCCCGCCGTGCTTTGAGGGGGAGATTTTTATGCTTATGTGGTGGGTATATCCAGAGAACCCCTAAAGAGCAGCAAAAGTATAGGAATTTCGGAAAGGCAATGTCGACTTCATTCGAAGATGATATGGTTTGTTGTAACCCCTTAATTGTCTGATGTGGCATTTGCGCATGATGATGATGTGTCTATTTATATGTTTAGCTTAAAGTAATAAAATTTGTTATGTTGCTTCTGAACCGTGATTTACCCTCTTTTGGGTTGTTGTGGTTTCTAAATCGTGCAAAATTCTACAAATAAAGTTAGTATGTGCACTTTAAAAATAAATCACGTACCTTTTAGACTCTTGCATTTTGAGATTTGTATCCTCTTGGGCATATATCTTCTGAGGCTCTTCTAGGAGCTTGAAATGAATCGGTGCCTTCTGAGACTCGTAGCATTCTGAGGCTTTTGATGTACCTGTATTGTAGCCTTTTGAGTTCTTTGATGTACTTGTGCCACTTGAGGCTGACAGTTTTTTGAGGTCTTAAATGTACCTTTATTTTTTGAGGCTTAAAGCCTTCTGAAGTCTTTGAATGGAGACCCTATCAACTACTTGCTCTCTTGAAGACTTTTTAGTGAGGATCTTGTCCATTAGTAGCTTCCCATCAAGACTTGCCTCTTGGGCTCATCTTTAAGAAGTATCATATATTCTCGTTGAGTCATGCCTCTTGGGCTCGACTTTCAGGGGAATGATAGTTTTCTATCGAGTCTTGCCTCCTAGGCTTGACTTCTAAAGGAACAATATCTTCCCATCAAGTCTTGCCTCTTGGGTTCTGCTTCCAAGAGTGCAATTGAAGAACTTCTCTGTCATTGTGAACGCTCGGCTTTTCTCATGTCGTTAGTCAAAGTGTATCTATCTGACGACTGCAGCCAATGTTGGAGAAAATTTGAAAAGAAAATCCACTAAAGATGTAAGACCCATCCTGGGATGTATAATTGAAGATGCTCAATGACATGAACCTATCACTTTCAAAGTCATATGAAATCCACTGAGAATGGTTGACCCATCCTAGGTTGTTAGTTAAAGCCTTTGCTCAACGGTTGTAACCTATTATGGAATAGGTCGAAGGAAATCCACCAATGATTTTTTATCTATCTAAGATTGTAAGTCGAAGCTTCTCCTTGACGATTGTAGGCTTTGATGCAAGAGTTTAAATCGAGTCCATCTAGGATCATTTAAATTTATAATGAGGTGTCAAATGCTCTGTGTTTCTTGAGATTGGGTTGTAGGTCACAATGGATCGTATGTTTTCTTAGAAATATGGTTACAACTATACTCAAGAATAATGTTTAATAGCTTGTTAGTTGCTGCTTTTGAATTTATTATTTCTCCGGCAAGTGTGTTTTCCACACGAGCTTATAAAATAATCCATGTATTGAGCCTTTAAGATTTCAACTTCCTGATTCAGTTGAGGAGAAACTCTAGTATTTTGAGAAGCATTGAGGAAGTGTTATTTGGAGTGAAGGTCGCCCCCTAGTTCAGGAATGATTCTTGAAGACTTGGATTTTGAATGAAATATGAGATGACTCCCCCACCAAAGTCGTGCCCGGGACTTTAATGTGAACTACCTTTTGAGACTTCAGTGAAGGTTTGCCCCCAGTCTGAAATAAGTTGTGAAAGACTTTGTGTTTGAATAGGATGAGAGAAGACAGCCCAACTACAATCATGCTCGAGACGTTGACGTGAAGGACTTTTCAAGACTGCAGTGAAAGTTGACCCCCACATCGAAGAATACTTTAGAAATAATGAAGATGAAAAGGAGATTCCTTCGTCAGTTGGATGATGTACATCATTAGGAATTGAAGTAGGGTCTCGACGTACTAGAGTTGAAGAAAGTGTCGAATGGTGCTTTGAATCTCATAGACAGAGTCAAATTGATGCGTGATAGAAGAGTCATGGTGTTAGAGTAATAAATTATTGTCTCAGCGTTGCACAAAAATTCAGCACACACTCGGATAAAAAAAATAACCAGTATATACACAGAAAGTTTTTACGTGAAAAACCCAGAAAGGGAAAATCCTACAGGAACTGGCCACTTATAAAGATTCATTATAAGTTGATAATTATAGAGAACCCTTGTCCCACAAGCAGGAAATGAGTATAAAGTTTTATGAATTACAACGTCGATGTGTGAAAGATCTCATCGTAAAAAAGACGAGGTGGCCGATAATGATCTGCGAGGACCAGAGAGTGGTGGGCGACGATAGTCAGCAGTTGTCGACAACAGATGTGGTGCTGGACTTCAGCTGCATCTTAAAGTTTCAAGCTCTTCCTCAAGCCCTTCTCTAAGCTTCAAGCTCTCCACTCTTCATGGGAGGGATGAGGCTCTATTTATAGAGTTCTGGGTGCAATTAATGCATGAACATAAACTTCTTTTATTGGATGACTCAGAGGGTTTCTCTCGATAAGACGATATTTGATGGACATTTGAGTGTCTTAACAGTGTCAGAATTGAGCCGTTTGGGCTTGTTGGATTCGTCTTGTCGAGACACTCGATTTGACTGTAAGCTCACCATATTCAAACATCTGTTTGCCCTCCTAAATTTGTTTGGGAAGCCACAAAAAAGTGGTTTAATGCTTGATGTGAGCTTGATTTGACTTGAATTAGACCAATTTTGATATCATTAGGTCCATCTGATTGAGTCGGTAAGTTTTGGCTATAGGTTTGTTGAAATCAAACTTCTGGGAGGATGATTTTTATCAAATTTTAAACGTTTTTTGCTCAAAAAGATGTATCGAGATCCATGTCATTCGTCAAGAGTCACGCTGAATGTTGGAAAATTGTTGATGGCATATCAAGGATAATCTTTTTTTTTTCCCTTAATAATTTTGAAAATCTCTAACTATAAGTCACTAAGATATTTATTTATTTTATTAATTTTTGTTCTATAAAATAGATGACCCTTGCAAACTTATAATAAATATATAGAAAAATGTGCTTTCTTTCTTTTATAAGTAGATATAGAACATACTATCAAATATATATAGTCTGTAAATATTTTAATAGACCTCAATATATCCACACATCTATGTAATCAATAGAGAGCATCTTATTGATCATATCTTCTTAGTCTTTCTAATAAGGAACAAGACAAATAAATAAAACTCCTAAAATTAATGTTATATTTTAAATTAATTTAATTTCATATGTGGGACTAAGGTTTAGCATAATATTTGCTAAAGATTAATTTTCCCAAAATTTCAATGCAAAACTCCATGATATTAATGCTAGCTTAGCATCTAATTTGTTAAGTAATTTAATTAAATAGTCAAATTTATATATAATTCAAATGAATAATTATATAATTTTTCTAATTAATCACTCAACATGGCCTATCAAATGAAATCATCAATGAATCCAATTGATTATTTTCCTCCTAGTAGTTATTATTCTATCAAATTAAGGAACCAACAAGGAGCTTTAAATAGCATATGTCAAAAAAATAAAAATAGAAATTATATATGTTTTAAAATAAAATAATAAAGTTATACGCTCTTTATTTTTTATTGTGGTAAAAGAATAAATTTGTTCATAAAAAATGTAAATACTACTCACAATTTTATGTAACTATAATTCAAAAATCAATAAAATAATTTTATTTATTATACATTTTTTCTCCTAAATATATATATTAAAACAGAATTTTCATTGTAAACATATTTAAAATTTAATCCCAATATCGATAAAATTATCAAAAAAATATAAAAAAATTGAAACTTTATGATTATATATCTAAACCGGAAAAGAAAAAAAAAATTGATCTTTAAATCCTTGGGGCAAAAAAAAAAAAAAAAGGCACGGGACCGAAATTTGCCTCAAAATAGAATTAGAACTGTGATCGAAAGGTCAAGAGGGAGAATTGGAATTCTGAATTCACGTATCGAGCTGGTACGTTAGGGCACGAATCTTTGTTCTTCCGAGAGAACGGTAAAGATTCAAGCTTGGGTTACTCTTTCCAATCCGACGAGCTCGTAAAGATCTGAAATTTGTTTGGGGCTTCGTCTCCCAGCCTTTCGTCGTCCCCATTGCCGATGAATTGATCCCGATCACCACTCTCTCGCCTTCAATCTCCATACGGTTCTCCGGCAAAATGCACCGAGTGAGTCTTTTTCGCCTTTCCTTATTTCTATTTCTTTCAATTGAATCGGCAATGAGGAAACAATTTTGAGCTCGCGTTAGTGGGACGTTGTTTTTTGGTTCCGTTGCTGTTATTCGGAAACCCTATTCAATCAATTCTTCCAGCTTCTGTATTCGCTCTATTGTTATTTGTTGCCAGCAGGCCGTGGGGTGCCTAGGGATTCGATGTGTGCGTGGAATTCGTGAAAATTTACGTTCTTTAATCCATTTTCGACGTCGCTGGTCGTAAATAATCAGTTTTTTATCGCGATTTTTCGGGTGAGAAATTTGGGTTGTTCCTCGAATTACTTCTGGATGCTAATTTGAATGAGTAGCATTTTTTAGCTTTCATCTTTATTCATCCAGCTTCAAAAGTTGTTATTTGATTGTGTTTGTATTCCTTCTGATTCTATTTTACGAACATGGATGCTTGTTATTGTTTTTGAAGATTCGTCGAAGAGATTCTGTCACTTGATAGGATGTGGCTTTGTGCTCTGCCCTAGCCACTTTGCTCAAGGAAAGCTTTGAATTTGGCAGTGACTTAAGAATTTCTCTGCGACTAAGCGAAGAATTATGAAGCCCGTGCTATGATTGATCTGGTTGTTTTGTTGATAGAAGAAGAAGATGAATGTGCCGACACATTTGGCCGGACAGATGGCCGGTCAATTGCCTAATCAGGTTGGGCAGCAGGTTTCGGGCCCATCCCAATTGGTAGTAAATTCAATGTCTTCCCAAATGCAGAGTATTGGCAATCATGCACATAAAATGGATCCTGAGGTGTTGATGAAGCGCGAGAGGATACAAGAGTATATGTAAGTTTAAGTCCGTGAAATTTGATTTTTACATCACTCACGTTTCTCTTCTTATGCAATAAATCATAATGTTGTTGGAACATTTTTGTTGCAAACTGTTATGTTCTCCAACGCATAGCACTCACGTTTCTCTGATCTCCAATGCTGTATATTGTACCTTGTTTGAAAATTGTATCTTGCTAATGATCCTTAGGTTAGTTAGGGGTTGGTTTGTTCTAAATATTTGGATATCAGAAGTATTTCAAATGAAGTGTAAACTGAATGTAATGTATTTGAAATCTAAAGAATATTCTATTTGCATTTGGTTGGAACTAATAAAAATAATAATTTAAATTAAAAAAAAATAGAAAATTTGAAGGAGGCTGCAACGGGATGGGAGAAGAGATTGCGATGGGAGCTTGTTGGGTTTGTTAGTGATAGGATAAATGGCTTGAGTAGGAGAAGATATTGTGATGTGAGCTCATTAGTACGGTTATTGGCACGATCATCAGTATGTGAAGGTGGGCATATAGTGATAAGAGCTCATTGGGGCTGGTGTTGATAGGATTTGCTACCTGCAAGGGAGACCGATTATGATGTATTCTAAAATTGCTTGAATTTGGAGATTTTAGAATATGTTAAGTTCAAACTAAGCAGCAAGTTTCAATTTCCTCCTAAAAATAATTTGTATTTATTCTTCAGCTAACCAAACACTAAAATTTTCAAAATTCATGATTTTAAATTAAGTACACTAAAAACCCCTTCAAATAAATAGCCCTTTAAGTATATTGTAATATTAACTATCTTGGCTATTTTATAATTGTTTAAGAAGTGCGGGGGATTATGGTGCACTAGGCTTACTCAACTATTATTTATAGATTCATATGAAACTTTTGAAAAGTTTTTTATAATGCGGTTTTAAGTTCATTTTCTAGTTTTCATAATTATGCCTAAAATAATTCTTGTTTAAGAAAATAACAAGTCTCAAAGTTGTAGGACACATTGCGTTTTCTGTCTATAAATTTAGTATTTATTTTTTCATGGTTGGTCTGTTATCCTATTTATGGGGCAATATATGCCACTTTATTGATCTATGCTGGACATTTGGTTTTCAAGTTGTTCTTTCCAAGGTTTGATAACTGCACAATTGGGTGTTAAAATATTTTTCATTTGTGAGGTGACACAGACATAAGCATCATACTAAAAAGTCGTGTAATGAAAAAAATGTTGTTGAACATTGAAGTGTGAAATAAAAAATAACATATTAACGAATTAAAAATTAATATATCAATATGCTAGCAAAGCATTAAGTTATGAATTGGACGAAATAAGCAGTGCCTTGCTAATATCCTAATATCAAATCATGAAATAAAAAAGGGTTGTACAAACTTCAAACTATAAAAGTAAGCTAAGATATTAAATTAAAATACTAAAATAAAGTAAAAAAAAATTCCAATTGTGCAAAACTAATATTTTTTTCATACTCAAATTTATCCTCCACTTGAAGCAAAAAACATTATCACCATAAAGATTATAATTTCTAAAGTGAAGGGATGCAATAATGGGTGTAGAGAAGATTGACGGTGGTGACAATAGGGAGTGTTGGCGGCGGTGGCATATGAAGAGAAGACCTATGGGTGAGAGGAATGAGGATGCATGATTTCTTTTGAGAGCCGCGTCAAGGGTTAAGTGGGATAATTATTTCGTTAATATCTGTAAAAAAAATAATAATAAAAAAGAAAACTTTCAGCCAAAATTGCAAATTGTGCATGCTTGCCTTGCAATAGGTGAGGCGAGGCATGAAGGCATGCCTTGACATATCCGGGGCATACACCGCACACTGGTATAATGAGGTGAAATCCTCATTGCGTTTTTTAGAGGAATAAAAAGTGTTGTACATTTGTCAACATTGTTTTCTACTAACTATAATGTTCAAGATGGTCATGGCCTTTAGATTAAGTTTGCTAACTATAAGGTTTTAGCTAGTTGTGGGAGCTCATAATCCATAATAATACGATACAATTTGTCTAATTACACTCCCTTTACTTTCATGGTCACCTAGTTGTTGAACATGCACCCGCTTAAACTGTAATTATGGTTATTGGTAGCTATTGTAATTATGTTTATAGCTTATGCTGTGGGTACAGATGTGCGAAACCTAATATCCCAACATATTGCATTAATTTCAATTGCTTTGTCACTTGTTAGAACTCTATTTCTCTGTCATTTGCATTGACATCCATAGTAAATCATTTGGAGTAAATGCATAGTAAGTAAAAGTGGTATTTCTGATGTGATATGAAAGATTTGAGTGCTATGCATGCGGATATGGAAGTTTAGGTGTTAGATATGTAAATACTAAATACATCATAATTGGGTGGTATGTATGTAAATGCAGTTTTTTTTTTTTTTCAAAATCTTGATTTTTATGCGCTTTTTATGTGGGGATGGAATGAAAACTTCAAAAGCATTCCTCATGTGAGGATGCGCTATTAGAAGGTTAGGCATGCAGGATTCCACCTGTCCTGTTGATGTCTGAAATTTTTAACATCGATTCTATATTTTTGAGGTTAAACATGTAACACAATTTTACTTTCTACTGAAAAATTGTCCAAGTTTTAGAAATGATCGTACTTCAAATCCTTAAGAGCAATCTTAACATTGTGGTGTGAGTACATGCTCTACTTAATTGTTGCCATGATATTCAAATTCATTATCCATAAAAACCACGATTTTCTCTTCAAACTTCAGCAATCCATTGGTTTCTCTCTTTTTTTTTTTTGGCTAATACTTTACTTTTTGGATTTCTTACATGCAAACCAGTTAATACTTATTTATTTACATATCTAACAACTAAACTTCAATTTTTGCATATATCCACCTTACCTATGCATAAAAATATGTATTTCACTTTTTAAAAGTTTAAAACAGTGGTGTTTTTGATGTGATAGAAAAGGTTTGGTTGGTATAAATGTAGAAGTAAAGTTTAGGTTCTAGATATGTAAATGCATAGGAATTGGATGGTATACATGTAAATGACCCGTTATTATTTGGGTTAAAGTTGTATATCATTTATAGAACTACAGCTTGTCAGTAGTTATGTGCGGTGCATACTTCAGTTCATTATTTCTATGATTACTTTTCAAGATGCTATTATCAGCCAAAAAAGTTTCTATTTATGAACAACAATCTTATTATATATTGTTTTAGTGGAAGATTTACATATATACCACTCAATTCCTATGTATTTACATGTCTAACCCCTAAACTTTTTTTTACATATATGCCGACTTAGATATGCATGAAAATGTGTTTTTCACTTTTGAAAAACTAAAATAGTAATATTTTTGACATGATATAAAAGATTTAAGCGGTATAAATATAAATAAATATAAAAATCAAATTTTAGTTGTTAGATATGTAAATACACATGAATTGGGTGATAGTTATGTAAATGTTTATAATGTCATCAACTTCAACTATTTTGTAACAGAATAGGCGTTCCACCTCGATCATGGTCAGCACTTGAATCCTTTTTATGGCATTTGTCTGTAGTGATACTACGATGTTATATCAACTTTTGTGTCTCTAATGGTAACTTTTTAAATCTGTTTTCAGCATGCAACTTCTTCAGCGCAGGACCATAAATCCAACAAATCCAGATGTTTTGCAAAAAATACCCGAAATTGCTAGACGCTTGGAAGATCGCATATATAAGGATATCCTTTTAAAGGTAATGTTGTGTTTATTTGTTTTTATCACTGATTACGATTTATGTAACTTTTATGGATTTTGATTCACTTCCATTTGGGCCTTTTCCATGCTTAAATATTTGGAAAATGTGCATACATACCACACAATTCTTATGCATTTACATATCTAACACCTAAAATTTTATTTTTACATTTAGAATACCTTGGTGTTAAAAACATTTGCGTAAAAATGTGTATGTTACTTTAAAAAATTAGTGATGGTGATATTTTTTGTGTATTTCATTTTTTTTTTATGTAAATATGAAAGTTTAAGCCTTTAGATATGTAAATATAAAAGAATTGCATTGTATATGTAAATGCCCCTGAATATTTTGTTCTTCTTTGTATAGTTTGTATTTTAAGTTCTTTTATGCTCTTAGAATCTTCATTGTACTGCTTATTTATTGAGAAATTTACACGCATAGCACTTTCGTGCTTTAAATCTATGCATGAAAATGTGTATTTTATTATTGAAAAGTGGTAATAGTACTATTTTTAATGCGATATTAAAGATTTGAATGCTATGTATGTAAATATGGAAGTTTAGGTGTGTGATATGTGAATACATAAGAATTGTGTGCCATGTAAATACTCCTAAATTTTCTTATTTTCTTAGAATCCTACTCGTTTATTTTTTATTAGTAACTCTTTAAGGGAACTATCTCAATCATGTAGGGAGAGGATTACATTAACATGCCACTGGCATCAGTCTATCAACGCTTGCAAGGAATAACTAAGAACTTTAATAGCAGCCAACAAGGCCATTTTATGCAGTCATCTTCTGTCAGTACGATGATACCGACGCCTGGCCTGACGAGCTATGGAAGCAATGGCCTTTCTGTATCTCAAGATAACACAGCGATATCCGCCGGTGGTTCGAATATGATAGCACAAACTGGAGTGAATATGGGGAATATTTTATCGAATACTAATAGACCCGTCAGCATGGGGCAAATTTCCTCATTCAATGCAACCACTGGTATAGTTTATTTTGATACGAGTGAAGTGTCAAAATGGTCCTCTGACTTTTTCCATAAGATTATTTTAGTCCCAAAGCCTATGAAAGGGTCAACTTCACCTGATTTTTTTAGTGGAGGCCAAATTAGCCGTGTATGGGAACTATTTCAGCTCATTAAAAAAGTCCGAGGACCAAATTGACACGTTTATAAATTATGTGAGGCTAAAATGACCCATTTCAGGGATTCAGATGACCATTTTGATAGTATCTTGTAGGCTTCTGCAATTACATAATTTTGATTTTTTATAAATTGCAGGAGCAATTCAAAATGGATATCCGCCGCAATCTGGAAATATGATCCATAATTCTGGTGGAAATGGTATAGTTTCATCTATGGGCATGATGAGACAATCAAGCATGATGATCCCAACTCCTGGATTAAATAACCCACAATCCATATCTATAACCTCCGAACCTTCCGGCGGGGGTGGATTTTCGAATGTGGATTCTCCTATGGTTTCACAGCAACAACAAAAGCAATATGATGGAAGCCAAAACAATCGTTTAATGAACGGCGTAGGAACAGGAATCGGTGTAAGGTCGAACTTACAGCAAAAGGTTCCTCCATATAGTTTACCCAATGCCGTCACGAATGGAGGTATGGGTGGTTTAGTCGCGACCAACGTGCACCACATGAACAGACCTACAGCTTCCGACGGTTACCTCGGTGCTGTTTCTTATGGAGGCTCTCCAAAATCTTTGCCACAACACTTTGATAAGCAACAACATCAGTCTTTAATGACCGGCAAGTCTCCTTTTTTTGCTGTCACCTTTTTTTGGCAATTAAGTTCTGTGAGCTTTCTTTCTGTTTTAGTTCACATATCATAACTGTTTTTCGCTGCTTCTTATCGTGCAGCATCAGTGTCACAGCATATGTTACCTTTGGCAGGTGATCTCTCTGGATCCGGAAACATAAATGGCTGTGGTTCAGCCGCCCTATCTACAGCGAACAGTCAAAATCCCAACTTGAATTCTAGGTTGAGAAGTAATCATGGAATGATTGGTCAACCAAGTTTGACGGCGATGCAACATGCTCCGCCGCTGAGGCCTCAAATGCCCGATAATTCACATAGTACGAATTTTCAAACGACACATTCTGCACGAGAACAACTTCTACAATCACAACATCCGATTCAAAGTTTTCAGCATCAACCTGTTCCGAACCAAAGATATCAATATAATGCGCAGCACCAACAGCAACTTATCGCAAATGCAAGTAACGTGAGACACTTTTCGATGCCTTCGAACTTTTCGGGACAAATGATACCCAAAGATGCAAGTGAAGCAACTAGCGAATCTTTACTTCCGCATGTCGATGAACAATTTCAAAATGAGTATCAGAATAATCTTCCATCCGGAAACTTATTGAAAGGAGCTCAATTGGTTAGTCAGATTCAGGGCCCTCACAATGTTCAGGCTTTGACTAAGCAGGTTTCACAGAAGGTTTGGGAAGTCGACCAACGGAACACCGAATCACAGAACGAGCTTAGTTGTCTTTTTGTGAAATCACAATCTGAAGTAATTTCCAAGGAAAATTGGTATCAATCCAATGCCAAAGAGAAACTTTCTTTCGAGCAGAATATACAGAAGGAGTTTCACCAGAGAATGGAAGGAAAAAACGAAGCACAACCACTTGAAACCTCTCCTGACGCCCGTGCTTTCGTTGCACATTCTGCCACGCCGGAGTTGTCGAATAAAACTCTTCGTGTCTCAAATATGGAGCAAGATTATTATAAGCAAAGGAAGTGGCTATTACTCCTCCTCCATTCTCGTAAGTGCCCGTCTTTGAAAGGACAATGCAAAGAAGTCAACTGCATTAAGGTTCAACAACTATGGATGCATATCGATTCATGCAACTCGAATGGATGCTTGTTTCCTCGCTGTTCTCAGTCAAAAAAACTTTTCAACCATTTTATAAATTGTAAAGTGGCAGAGTGCCCTGTATGTGTTCCCGTGCAGCAATTTATAGCATCTATCAAAGCACGCAATAATACCCACAAGATGAACGGTACATGGAAGAATGCCACATCCCCGAGCATCGATAAGGTAATGAGCAAAGCTGGTTTTTCACCTTGCGATACATCCGATTCACAACCTCCGTCGAAACGCCTAAAAGTTCAGAATGCGCCTTCTTTCGTACCCAAGATTGAAGAAACTTTTATTTCCACTCCCGCAAATCAAATCAGTATGCCTAACGAGGCTGCTTTGACTTGTAAAATGGAGGTATTTGAAGCGAAGATGGATACATCGGTAGACGGGTGGTGTCCAATACCGGATATGAAACTTGATGTTACGTCGAACAGTGTAATTCCTGCAAAAGGTGTTGTGGAGCCTAGTTCTACGAAGGAATCAGAGGCTTTTAACAAGATGGAAATACAGGTGGTAGATAAAGATACTTCACAAGCTAAGATGGAAACAAATCAAGAAGTGAGCATAGCTCCGACTGATCCTGCTGCAGCGAGTAAGCCTGGGAAACCGAAGATAAAAGGAGTTTCAATGACTGAACTTTTCAGTATAGAGCAAGTCAGAGATCACATCATTAGTCTGAGGCAATGGATTGGGCAGGTTAGATAATCAGGCATTTTGGATACCTCTCTCTTGTCTTTTTTCTCATGTGTGACAATATTCTACAAAAGAAGAAAGTATCAAAATGGTTCTTGACTCTTTCCTTGGGATTATTTTGGTCATAGATTTTATAAAAGTGTTAATTTAGTCTTCCGACTCTTTTAATAGGGCTAAAATAGCTATTTTAGCCCATATTAGGACCATTTGGACTAATTTTACACTTTTATTGACCATGAGACAAAATGACACCATGTAAAAAGTCAAGGGAGCATCTTGGCACTTTACTTTCCTACAATATATGGGGTGCTTCATATAACTTTAAATTTATTAAGAGCTTTAGTATCACTGATAGGTGTTGTTTGAGTGAAGTGCAATCTGAATATGCGTTTTTTGCTAGCAAACGACCTTTCTAACATATTGATTTTCTATTAGTGATGTATATTAGGAAATTAGATGAAACCAAGAATCTAGTAGATTTGAATAAAACTATCACATTTATGATCTAATTATAAAATAGAGAGAGAGAAGTAAGAAAGAATCTAGCCTTCCTCGCACTTGAATTAGGGAATTACTTGTCCTCTGTTGATAAATTGAAATATTAAAAATAGCATTTGTTTGCAGAGCAAAGCCAAGGCAGAAAAGAATCAAGCCATGGAGCGCTCGATGAGCGAAAACTCATGTCAATTGTGCGCCGTGGAGAAGCTCACCTTTGAACCCCCTCCTATATACTGTACACTATGTGGCACTCGTATTAAGCGAAATGCAATGTATTATACCATAGGGAACAGCGACACGCGTCACTACTTTTGCATTCCATGCTACAATGATGCTCGATGCGACACCATCGAAGCGGAGGGGTCTGCCTTCCCAAAGTCAAGGATGGAGAAAAAGAAAAATGATGAAGAAACTGAGGAATGGGTAAATCTTCTCCCTTTTCTCATTGTATTTCTCCTCGCCTTCGCATCGCTCTATGCTGATAGGTTTTTTCGTGTCGCAGTGGGTTCAATGTGACAAGTGTGAGGCATGGCAGCATCAAATTTGTGCTCTTTTTAATGGTCGAAGGAATGAGGGCGGACAAGCGGAGTACACTTGTCCTAATTGCTACATGGAGGAGATTGAAAAAGGCGAACGGAAGCCTCTGCCTCAGAATACGGTGCTCGGCGCTAAAGATTTACCGAGAAGTATTCTTAGTGACCACATCGAACAACGTCTCTTCAAAAGGCTGAAGCATGAGAGACAAGAGAGAGCGAGGCAGCTTGGAAGAAGTTATGATGAGGTAATATTTTTAGTTGTAATATTTGTAAATTCTATTAAAATAAGTGTTTTAAATGTTGGGCATATTATCTCATTTTTTTTAGTTTATTTACAGAGTGAAAGGCCTGATGCTTTTCGTAAGATCTGTATTGTGAATGAAGCTTGTAAAATCTGTTGGAATTTTTTTAATTATAGTTTCATGGACTTCTCAGGCGACTTTAGCTTGTGGACTTCTGGGCTGGTCTTAATTTGCAATTAAGTTCAAAATTGCATTGTCACAGAAAACAATAGATATTTTTGTAATTTATGCATCTTTTTCCTCAACTTGTGGATGATTTTATTTTTATTTTTATGTTTTCTGTTATTCTGATGCTTTATATAGAAAGTATGCACTTGCGAATTAACCTACGTACTACTCAATTCTTTTGTCTTTACATATCTAACACCTAAGTTTTATTTTTTACATATATATACCAGCTTATTCATGAAAAGGAGTATTGCACTTTTTAAAAGTTAAAATGGTGATTTTTTTTGTTGTGGAAAAACTAGGGTTTAGATAGGTTATACATAGGAATTGGATGGTATTGTATGTAAATTCCTGTAAAAAAATGGGAGATTTACATACATACCACAAAATTTTTATGTGTTTACATATCTAGCGTCTAAACATTCATATTTACATTTATAGTACTTTGACCTATGCATGAAAAGGTATATTTCACTTCTAAAAAATAAGCAAAAGTGGTATATTTGATATGACGTTAAAGATTTGGATGCTATGTTTGTAAATATGGAAGTTTAGGTGTTGAATATGTAAATACATGAATTGAGTGGTGTGTATCATTTATGTAAATCATATTTGTAAACCTGAATTTATTTTATCTGCTTACATTCAGGTACCAGGAGCAGAATCGCTTGTTGTGAGGGTCGTTTCATCAGTCGACAAAAAATTGGAAGTCAAGCAGCGGTTTTTAGAGATTTTCCAGGAAGAAAATTACCCAACAGAGTTTCCATATAAGTCAAAGGTAAAGAAAATTTCTCACATTATCATTTAGCTCAGGCGGATATGTAATTGCCTTTTTTCGTCCTTAATAACGGGTAGAATTGCATAATAAATTCTTCTTTTGAACTCATCAATTTTTTATTGCAGGTTGTATTACTGTTTCAGAAGATAGAGGGCGTAGAAGTGTGCCTTTTTGGCATGTATGTCCAGGAATTTGGTTCAGAATGTAGTTACCCCAACCAGAGGCGTGTTTACCTTTCTTATTTGGATTCAGTGAAATACTTCAGACCCGAAATTAAAACCGTTACCGGCGAAGCTTTGCGGACTTTTGTATATCACGAAATTCTGGTACAATTTTTTTCCTCTGCATGATTATTTTTTTTTCTTTCGGGACATTTACATACGCAGCACGCAGTTATCATGTATTTACATATCTCACACCTAAGCTTTCATATTTACACACGTAACACTTCAATCTTTAGTATCACATCAAAAATAGGTCTATTATGGCTTTTTAAAAATGAAATCCACATTTTAATACATAGGTTTAAAGCACCAAAGTGATATGTATGTAAATATGAAAGTTAGGTGTGAAATATGTAAATACATGAGAATTGTATGCTATGCATGTATATATCCCCAGGTTGTTCTTTTCTAAAATGTTTTGGCTAGATTTTTGCAGATAGGATATCTGGAGTACTGTAAAAAGCGCGGTTTCACGAGCTGCTACATTTGGGCCTGTCCTCCCCTGAAAGGCGAAGATTATATCCTGTATTGCCACCCTGAGATTCAGAAGACACCAAAATCTGACAAATTGAGGGAATGGTGAGTGTTAGATTTAATGTCTAACGCCAAAACTTCAATTTTTACGTATATATGCCACTATATCCATGCATGAAAGATGTTTTCTTTTGATGTGATATTAAAGATTTGTGTGGTATAAATGTAAAGAGTGAAATTTAGGTGTTTGATATGCAAAAACATGAGAATTGGGTGGCATGTATGTAAAAGTTTTCTTGATTTTATTGATCTTTTCTTTTTTTCAGGTACTTGTCGATGCTTCGGAAAGCTAACAAGGAAGCTGTTGTTGTCGGCCTCACTAATTTATTCGACCATTTCTTCGTATCTACTGGAGAATGCAAGGCGAAGGTTACAGCGGCACGGTTGCCATATTTCGATGGCGATTATTGGCCTGGCGCGGCGGAGGACATGATTTATCAGCTTCGTCAAGAAGAAGATGGGAGAAAGCAGCAGAAGAAAGGAAAGACGAAGATGACATTGACGAAAAGGGCTTTAAAAGCCGCCGGTCATACTGATCTTGCTTGTAATGCGTCGAAAGATGCTCTATTGATGCAAAAGGTGTTATTTTTGTTGGCCTAGTAGAAGTCTATTTTCTATTTATTTTTTTTATATGAAGATTTACATACATGCCTCTCGATTCCCATATATTTACATAACTAATACCTAAACTTCAATATTTACATATATGTGTCCTTTGCATGAAAAGGTATATCTCACTTTCTAAACGTTAAAATCATGGTATTTTTTATATAATATGAAAGATTCGGGTGGTATAAATGTAAATGCAAAGTTTAGGTGTTAGATATATAAATAAATTGGAAATGGGTGGTACGTATTTAAGTGAGCTTGAGGCTACATTTTGCTGAGATATTCAAGTTTGTCCAATCGATCAATGTTTTTTTGCTGGTAGCTCTTTTGCTTCAGCGGCATTTACATACAGGCCCACCTAATTCCTATGTATTTACATGTTTAGCACCTAAATTTTGCTTTTTTACATTTATCACACTCAAATCTTTCATTTCACATAAAAAATACCACTATTTTAAATTTTAAAAAAATGAAATACACCTTTTCATGCATAGGTAATGTGACATATATGTAAATATTGAAATTTAGCTGTTTACATTTGTAAATATATAAGAATTGTTTCATCAAGCTTTTAAACTAATGTTTTTTTGTTTGTTCTGATTTTACTTGTAATTGCGCAGCTTGGGGAAACAATCTCTCCCATGAAAGAGGATTTTATCATGGTTCATCTGCAACATGCATGCACCCACTGCTGTATTTTAATGGTATCAGGAAATCGTTGGGTTTGCCATATTTGCAAACATTTTCAGATTTGTGATAAGTAAGTTCCTTCTTTCTTTGATATTTGCATATCTAACATTCCACACAATTCTTATATATTTACGTATCTAACATCTAATTTTGATATTTACATGCATACAGTCAAATCTGTAACATCACATCAAAAATATCACCATCACTAACTTTTTAAAGGTGAAATACACCTTTTCATGCATCTGTTCATAGCATCGAAGTGTTATAAATGTAAATATCAAACTTAGGTATAAGATATGCAAATACATAAGAATTGTGTGGTATGTTATGTAAATTTCCCTATCATAATATGAGAAGAACCACATAGTATATGATATTATCATAAAATGAATTCATCTAACAAAACATAATTGTTCTTCCAGATGTTATGATGCTGAACAAAAACTTGAAGATAGAGAGAGGCATCCAATCAATAGCCGCGAGAGGCATGATCTATTCCCTGTAAGTTTTCACTCACTCATCTTTTCTTCCAAGTCTTCAACCATTTGGTGATATCAACATTTACATAACCAATCGAGCAGATTGAAATCACCGACGTAGCTGCTGACACGAAAGACAAGGATGAGATCGTCGAGAGTGAGTTTTTCGACACTCGGCAGGCGTTCCTAAGTCTCTGTCAAGGCAACCATTACCAGTATGACACGTTGCGTCGAGCGAAGCATTCATCGATGATGGTCTTATATCACCTGCATAATCCGACGGCACCCGCGTTCGTGACGACGTGCAATGTGTGCCATCACGATGTTGAAAGTGGTCAGGGTTGGCGTTGCGAGGTTTGCCCGGATTTCGATGTGTGCAATGCTTGTTATATGAGAGAAGGCGGTATCGACCATCCTCATAAGATGACTAATCATCCTTCGAATGCGGATCGCGACGCGCAAAGTCAAGAAGCCAGACAAAAACGCGTCCTGCAGGTGCCGGATATTTTTTTTCCCCTTTTCACAAAACTTTTACTTAGTTATTTTAGATTAATTCTTAGATTCTGGTGATTTTTTAAGTCATTATTGGCACCAATAAATTATCTTTTGTGAATGAAACTTTAATTATATATTTGTTGAGAGAGTCTTTTATAAATATTTCAGATTTAGATTTGATACATAATTAATGAAGAAATAGTACCTCATCCTCTGAATACATACATACAAACATATACATACATACATACATATATATATATACCATGAAACATATATATATATATATATATATAACTATTTATATTTTAAAAATTTAAGTTTAGGTGTTAGATATGTAAATATATAAGAATGGAATGGTATACATGTAAATCTTCCTTATTGTAAATATGACTAGGCTAGAGTTGCTACTTTTGTTGGCATTAGTAGCATTGAATACATATTTATTTGATTTCTCGGTGCTGTCTTTAGATGTTTGATGGCTTAATGTCACATATCAGATTTCCTAATATTTTTCTACTTCTTTTCTTTTATTTTTTTTTGGAAGATTTACATACATGCCACACAATTCTTATGTATTTACATATCTAACTCTTAAACTTTGATATTTACGTTAAGACCACTTTATCAATGTGTGTATCTCTTCTAAAAGGTTAGTAATAGTGATATTTATGATGTGATATGAAAAATTTGAGTATTAGAAATGTAAGAGTCAAGGTTCAGGTATTCGATATATGAATTCATAAGAATTGTGGTATGTATGTAAAGGCCCCCCTTTTGCTTTTTTTCTGGAATAGTTGAACAATTTTCTTATGCAATTTTTGTTTACTGCAGCTCCGGAAAATGCTCGAACTGCTGGTTCATGCTTCGCAATGCCGTTATCCGCACTGCCAATACCCGAACTGCCGCCGAGTCAAGGGACTTTTTCGTCATGGCATCCAATGCAAAATTCGTGCTTCCGGTGGCTGCGTCCTCTGCAAAAGAATGTGGTATTTGTTACAACTCCATGCTCGAGCCTGCAAAGAGTCGGAGTGCATTGTTCCGCGTTGCAAGTGAGTTTACACGAGTTTCACTTTCGTCTTGCTTTTAATTTGAACTCGGTGCTTAATCGATGCTTCTGCTGTACATCCAGGGATTTGAAGGAGCATCTTAGGAGATTGCAACAGCAGTCTGAGTCCCGTCGGAGGGCCGCTGTGATGGAGATGATGAGACAGAGAGCAGCTGAGCTGCAAGGAGGAGACAACTAATTGTACAGTTTGCTGTTTTATAGTATAAAAATACAGAAAAGGATCTGCTTTAAGCTTTCTCGTCGCAAAGATTGGTTTTTTTCGACCAGTTTTCGCAGATTTCGCATGAAAGCAGCGAACTTCATCGCATCAGGTATTTTTGTTGATCTAACACGATTCTCTGCTAACCTAACCTTTGCTCAGCAAAACAGTCTGAAGGAAAACAATGCTCTCATCCCGCTTAACTCAGCTCAACTCAGCTTGTTCAGATCGAGATTCATAACTGAGTTCTGAAACTTTACTTTGATAGAAGAAGGTTAGGATTAAACGGATCAAACCGTTGCGGGTATGGTTGCAATTCTTTCATTTATCATGCGTTGCATTGCTGCCCATGTTTTGGGTGGCATTTGTATTATAGAATTCTGTTATTTTCATTTTTTTTTTTCTGTTTTAGTAGCTGTTTTAGTAGGAAGTGTTGTTGAGTGTTGTTGTTCTAAAGTTCATTTTTGTTTGATGTTCTGTTCTTTCTTTCTTCTCTCTTGTGCGGTTTGGTGCTCTCTTTACTGCTGGGAAGAAGAGTTCGGGGACAGTCTCAATAATTATTGCTGTCCCCTTTTTTTGTAGAATGCTGTGTTTATTTAAAGATGAAATAAGCAGAGCCTGTTTCCTTCAGTATTTATGTTGCTTTGATTTTTTTTTATTTTATTATAGGGAAATTTACATACATACCACCAAATTCTTATGTATTTACACTTCTAACATGAAAATGTGTATTTCACTCTTCAAAAGATAGTGATGATAATGTTATTGATTTGATGTTTAAAAGTTTGAGCGATGTGTGTAAATATGAATGTTTAGGTGTTGGATATGTAAATACATAAGAGTTTTATGATATGTTTGTTGTGTCCCTTTTATCATAATACTAATTATGTTGTTTTCAGCATCTCTCTCTCTCTTTCTCTCTCTCTATGTTTGTTGTGTCCCTTGGCATAAGAAGATATTTAATAGAAAGCCAAATAATTACATTGTACATATAAAGGCTTGGAATAACTTGGGGTATAAGTGCCAAAATATTCCCTTAATTATTTACATGTGGCCTTTTTAGTCAGAGACTAAATTGGTCCCTAATTTAATAAATTGAGCCTTTAATAGTCCTCAATGGGAACTATTTTAGCCCAAGTTTGAAGAGTTTGGGATGAATTTGATGCTTCTATAAATTCAGGGAGTAAAATTGCTTCCTATAATTAGTTTGGGATTATTTTGACACCTTACTTGTTAGTATTTATAATTTTGGCATTTATTTTAAATCTTAGCTAAATTTATCAAAATAACTTTAAAAAATATAAACAAACATGAGGGATTTAGTTTTAAAGAGCTTGAATATTTTAAGAGAATCATTTTCAACGCTCAACATGAACATTGTCAATAATCACTATCATTCAATTGTTATTGCTTAACTGGTTTAATACATCATCGATCGACTCACACAGTTTGCCCATTGTTTGACTAGCATTGCCTTGTCGCGACAATTTATCTGACTTTGCCCAACCATTGTAGCTTGTCTATTTTCAATGTACAATCATTACCCTGATATGTTGCCATAGTATGTTAATCGAGTTTGCATTAAATACTTTTTACGTCAACCTCTAAAGCCATGCTTACTATCATTGCTCGTTGACAACTGCATGACTATCATCGCTACGGCTTTTTTAATGAATGAATCAAATAGGGGCAACTTAACAAGTTGGACATGAGTTGTTCACGAACAACAGGCTTTTTTAAACAGCCCCGCTCCTAGCTAACTCCTATCTATTTTTCATATTATTACATTATATCATGTTACGTATAAGTGATGTCATAACATGCCACTTATGTGAATTTCTAATACTTTTTATTAAATTTCATCACTTTAATATTAACCATATAAAAAAATATTCATTAAAATTTGTGATATTATGCTAATGAAATTACTTTCAATTTTAAAAGTTAAAATGTTTACATACATGGTGCTTTACTTAAGCATAAAAATGTGTATTTTAAATTTTAAAAGTTAAAATTAAGACTTTTTGTGATGCGAGAAAATTGGGTGGCAAGAATGTAAAATATGAAGTTTGGATTTTATGTCAATGTATAATGTTGAATCAAAATTTGTTCTTGAATCACATCAAATGAATAGCCTGTTAAACAAGAGATAGAGAAAGAGAGAAATGCATAATGAACAATAATTTATGAGGTGTGTGTCTACCCTTTTATTCATAGAATGATATCTTATTTATAGAGAAAAGATGTATAATATGTGAATTTACATTTATACCCATGCTTTAGTGAGGAATGTACATGACATTGTAGGTATTTTACATATATGGACCCAGAGCCTGATTGTTCTAATTGTTCTATGGCTCAACGAGCGAGCGCTTGGTAGAAGCTGCTGGTCGGCTAAGCTTGGTGAATATTGTTGGTTGGCTAAGTGAGCAAGGCGCGCTAGTTGGCCAGATCGAGTAGAGAGTGTTGGTTGGACATTCTCGTTGATATTAGTTGGCTGACCTTTTATTGGTAAGGAGTCGACATAATTAACTCAACCGACTAAGTCGAGTCGATTGACTTATCAAATTTGGCTACCGACACTCAATCCCTGGTAAGGAGTTCTAGTTGTCAAAGAAAATCTAGGTTATCGAGCAGAGAATAAATCAATGTAATTCGATAAACAACCGCCTTTAGACGAACTGGTCTTGAGGGATGGTCGAGACTCGTCTTGATGATCAATAATGATGTTCAGGGAGGCTGTTGGATGCTTCTGATTGAACTATCATTCTCGGGGGGTTAGCTTCTCCTTTAGGTTGGTTTCATCGCGGGGAATGACTTGGATTCTGTGTTCTTTGCTTCCTATCGAACTACCCATGTTCGAACTGTTTTGTTACTTTAGGGTTTGTTTGGGCAGCTGCAGCTTCTCAACTACAACTTAGCTGCCTCAGGAAGTTGCTGCGGGGAAGCCGACTAGTTTTTTGTTGCAGCTGTGTGAAAATAGTTGTGCGACAGCTGTTTCTGGAATAACCGTTCTGCCCTTGTTTGGTAATGTTGTTTGTAATTGTACCGTTCTAACCAAATATTAGATACTCCAGAAGCAAAAAACCTTCCTCTATCTCTCTTGCTCTCATTTCTTAAATAGAAAATAGTGTTCTAACCAAATATTAGATACTCCAGAAGCAAAAATATACTTTAGAACAATAGAAATATTTTTTTTTTCCAAACAACAAACCAATCCATAACTTTGGCCACCAAGAACAAGCAAAAATTCACATCCAAATCACACATCCACACCGTAGGATAACATTTTAAAATCTAACATCACAAATCCAACCAACTAGGAAATGAGAAACACAAAAGAAGAGGGGCGTGGGAGTAGGGGCGGTGTGGGGCATTGTGGACGAACCAGAGAGAGATCACAACCGAACGACGAAGAAGAGGAGTTAGGGCAAAATCACGAATAGGGAGGACACCTGGGTAAAATGCCTAGGAATGTAGTGGGTCTGTGGGGTCAACCCACTGTCGGCATTTAAGGAGATTTGCAAGCCACTGTGGCTGACCCGCTGTCCCAAACAACCTAAACACACGGGGCCTAGCCATGCCGCAGCTTTACCATCGCCTCAAATGGGGCCTTAGTTAGTCTTGGTCATGATACATTTGATCCAAAAATTGGGCCCCGAGTTTTCTATCGTCGGTCTCGTCTTTGACATGCCTTGCCACGACTGTGCTGTCATATCTCTTCGAGATTCACTCCGATACTTTTTATTATACGTATAAAAATTGGATGATATACTTGTAAATGCTCAAATTTTTAATGAGAGTTGATGTATATGTGGCCGTTTTAGTCCCATAATTTATAAAAAGTGAATGCAATCTTCGATTGTTTTAAAATGGAGCTCTAATAGTCATCAATTATAATTAATTTGATACTTCTATAAATTTTAGGTTTAAAAGATCTATATAAATTTTGAGAGATTATTTTTATAGATAGATATATATATATATATACATATATTATATCCATCACTTAAAACATTCGTCATTGCCGTGGGATACGTAAACTCGGTCCACGGGCTAAAAGCCAGTCGAATCCAATCATAATTGCAGAGGCTACAGGAACCGCCACACCGTCACGATATACACGCCAACGCGCATTCGGGTGGGCCCCCCTCCTTTTGTTGCCCTTCACGGTTACAGGAAATTACGAAATTAGACCCCAGCTTCCTCCATCCACAAGAAGGGGGAGAGCATGGCGAGAGAGATGAGAGGAGGAAGAAGGAGAGAGTGAAGGGAGAAGAGAGAAGAGAGAAGAGAGCACCAAAGTGGAGAAGACGACGGCTGTGGCGGCTTTTGGAAGCTGCCGACTGACGGTCTTCATGTGTTCTGCAGCCATAAATCGTGCTGGAGTTCACATTTCTTTTTCATTTCAGCTACTCTGGGTTCGAACGCCGTCTTCTGCTTCTGGGCTGTCGCAGAAGCAGCAGCCTCCGTCTGAGGAGGATCGCGTTGAGGGATCAGCATCCGCTGGCAGTGGAGGTTTGCCGGAGGAGAAGAGGCAGAGGGTTCCTGCGCTCAGAGGGTCGGTGGTTTTACCCCTATTCTCTTGGCACTATGATTCTATTGTTGCTGTGATATTGTTATTTTTGTAATTTGATTGTTATTTATGTTGTGCTGCTTCGTTTTGCCGAAAATTTGGGGCTCAACTGATAATGTTTTTATTTGTTTGATTTTCTAAATTGAAATACTTTTGAAATTTATATGCAGGATATTTATGGATGTCTTGAGATCTGACGCCTTGAAAAGACTGCTTTCTGCGCTTGAACCCTTGGTTCGGAGAGTTGTAAGCTTGCATTCTTCATCATCCTTATAGTGTGACTGCCAATGCACTTGTTTTGAATTTGATTAATTCCTTGCTTACTATAAAGTTTGGGGAAATTTGGAAGGGTTGGGGATGTCTAGCTTATCAATCAGATTAGGGTAGAGTAGCTCAGATCAAGGATTTGTTAACGCATAAATTTATTGACCATGACAATGCTACTTTGATCTCCAATATTAGTTAAATGTCTGCAATCTTGGGTTTAAATTGAAGTCCGGCATTTGCATACATCCCACACAATTCTTATGTATTATCTAACTCCTAAGATTTACCTTTTGCATTAATACCACCCAAATCTTTCATATCACATCAAAATACCATCATTTTAACTTTTAAAAAGGCGTACATTAGAAATACCGTCATTTTAACTTTGAAAAAGTGAAAATACACATTTTCATGCATAGGTAAGTTGGCATGCATGTAAAAATTAAAGTTTAGGTATTAGATATGTAAATACATAGGAATTGAGTGGTATGTATGTAAACCATCCTTTCATTATTTGCTACTACCCTATGGGCATTCATTATAGTACTTATTAACTTCTTTGAACATTCTATTGTTTCTAATCATTGATGGACAAGTTGGTTGTGGCAAAACTAAGTATGATAAGATGTATATGTATATGTTGTATGATTAGTAAAAATGGAAAAAAAATATCATGCTGAAGGTGTTGGGAGTTGTACTTCTTGTAGATATGGCAATGGAAAATAGATATGATTTAGGAAGATTCCATACATACCAACCAATTCTTATGTATTTACGTATCTAACACTTAAATTTTGCTTTTTACATTTATACCGCTTAAAGCTTTCATATCACACCAAAAATACCACTATTTTAACTTTTAAAACATAAAATACACCTTTACATGCATAGGTAAGGTGACATATATGTAAAAATTGAAGTTGAGGCGTTAGATTTGCACATTCATATAAATCTTCTTGTAATTTGTGGAAAGATTTGGAAGAGAAAAAGGTAGATTAAATTTAACATGGATGGAACTTGTCAAAAGATTTTGCTCAAAATAAAGTTAAAATTCAGTTAGAACTCAAGAAGAATGAAAGCACAACAAGGATTCATAAACCGGGTCTCTACTAATAATGATATGGCTATTGATGATGATGTGTTGTAGACTATTCTCTAAATTTATTTATTTGAGCTGGAAGTTTTGGTTTTGGCGACTATGGTTTATGCTCATTAATGTTGGATTTGAGTACCAGTCCCAGGTTTTTAACACGCATTTTGAAAATGATAATTAACTATATCCCTGATTCTTTGATTGATAATTTTCTGTTATTTTTTCTTTATTTATTAATTTCTTTTCTGTTATTTTTGCTGCTTTACTTAATGGTTCGATTTTTTTAATCATGCTTTTGACTTTTGACAACCTGATAAAAGAATAAGTTGGGTTGAGACGTGAAAATAGTCGCATATTTTAGGCTCTGCTTTCCTTGGCGGTATACGAAGGGTTATAAAATACTAAAGTATGTTATAGATATTTTAAACATTATTTTATATATTTAATGCACAATATATTAATTTAAATTAAGTTTATTATTTTAGCTTGGCCTTTGCTTGGCCGAATATGGCCAGTTCATGTTGGTCAGCCTGAGATAAGCTTTATCAATGAGATTGGACTGATTTGGTTACTACATGTTAACAATATCCATGCTCTTTTGATAGGATTAGGATTCTTAAAATTTTATTTTACCTCATCCCTTCATTATCTGCACAGCTTGAACCATACTATGAATTATGGCTAATTATAAGTGGGACTTGATGGTAGGGAACATGTTCTCTTATGAGCAGAACAATCGAGAAAGCTGCTTAGAAGTAGTGCTATGTAAGCTGCTATTAATTTAATTTAATTTATTTTATCTGGTTTGGACAATGAATTTTGCTTCATAATAAGAAATTAGAATAATAAATTATTTCATGGAAAGCAAATATACTGCATACGGTCATGCAATATTTCAGCTTTTGCTTAGTATGCATGAATATGTGAAACAGCAGGTGTAATTCACCTTTTGCTGCATTTACCACCAGGTGAAAGAAGAAGTTGAGTTGGCACTAGCGAATCATTTGGACAGCATGTCAAGGTAAAATAAGCATAATTTTTTTGTAGTTAAAAGACAATTTTCCTAATCTATTTTTTTTAATGCAATGTTAAGTAACTCAAAATAATGTTTTCTTGTTTTATTTTTTGTTTAAAATTTTTATGATTGCCGTATTTCATCTCCTATCAGAGAATGTGGAAAGCAGATAAGTCCAGCTTTCTCCAGAAATTTACAACTACAGTTCTTGAATAAGCTGTCACTTCCAATATTTACTGGTACTAAAATTGATGGAGAAGACTCTTCTTCTATAACTATAGCTTTAGTTGATACTATGAATGGAGAAAGAGTCACTTCAGGTCCTGAATCCTCAATGAAGGTTGAAATAGTAGTTTTGGAGGGTGATTTTGAAGGTAATGAACAGGGGAATTGGACAGTTGAGGAGTTTAAAAACAATGTTGTAAAAGAAAGGGATGGCAAGAGATCGCTCCTGACGGGGGATATTTTTTTTGATCTCAATGAGGGGATTGGTGCGGCAGGGGAGCTTTCATTTACCGATAATTCTAGCTGGACAAGAAGTCGGAAATTTAGACTTGGGGCAAGAATTGTGGATAGTCAGTTAAATGGTATTAGAGTTAGAGAAGCAAGAACCGAAGCCTTCACAGTCAAGGACCATCGTGGGGAATGTAAGTACTAAACATTTTTTTACGAGCATTTACATACGTAACACACAATTCTTATGTATTTTGCATATCTCACATCTAAACTTTCACATTTACACTCATAACACTCGAAGCTTTAATATCACTTCAAAAATAGCATTAGTATCACTTTTAAAAGTGAATTACACCTTTTCATGCATAGGTTTAAAACATCAAAGTGCTATGTATGTGAATATGAAGGTTCAGGTGTGAGATGTGTAAATACATGAGAATTGTGTGCTAAGGATGTAAATTTCCCTTTTTTTTTTAACAAGTCTTATTTTTCTGTAAATGAATTGGCATAGGAAGTGTTTATTCCATCTCACATGTTACAGATTGCAAGTCTAACATGACATGAAGGACAATGCTATTACATTACAATTATCTTATCATTTTGTGAAGGATAATTGTTGTGCTCACACAATATAGGTGCTTTGTTAGGTTGGATCTTGCCTTATTGTACTTGTTTTTACCAGAAGCATTGGTGCTATAAATATCTTTTATATTCCCTAGTTTCTTTAGTTTGGTCTATAATTTTGTGCATCTCAAGAAGCCTAATGATTGGAATTTATGCCTCATAACTAGCAAGTTTTTAGTGGTCCCTGACAAGAATCAGAGAATTGATTGATTATATTTAATTTCAACATGTAAATAATTACAATCCTAGGAAACCATCTAATAGAAAAAAGATGATAAGGAATATAATTAATTGTAAAATAATTACAATAGTCTATAAATTAATGATCAGACAGTTGGGATCCCACGGAATAATGAGGTGTGGTGGAAGAGGAAAGAGAGTTTAAAATCTTGGTGAGAGTGGCTTCTAGTTGGTCGAAATTATGTAGGCATCTCACTCTCCTTTAATCAAATGAATGGATGCTATCAATTCCAGGCTTGCTTGATATTTTTTGGAAAGATTTATTTTGACATCATTTGGCAAGAATGCCATGAATTCACAAGTGATTATGAATGGAGTATATATTAGAACATTGATAAGCTCCTCCTTTATAAAGTGCCTATTAATTTCAGCACGTTTTGTATGACCATGTAGTGCAATATTAACCGGCTGACCTGCTATCACAATTAAGCTTCATGAGATCATTCCAAACCTTTAAAATTTCTTAAATAGATCTTAGCCATAACAATTCTCAGATTGTCGGTACCATAGATCAAAATTTAGCTTTTTGCTAGATCTTCTTACAATTTTTGTATTTTATCTCTCTAGGTCTCAAGGTTGTCTCCTAAGAATGTGCAATCTTAAAGTTTTCTTTTTGTTAGCTATGGGAATTGAAACCAAGTGTATGCTAGTATTGTTATTGTTGTCTATGGAGAGTGAAACTATGTTAAAAGTAATTACATGTAATAATGCAGTGATAAAGGCTACAATAATGAGGCTATTTTGCAACATTATTGTGATGAAGTCTGCAAAAATGGAAAGTATTTGCATATAACACACTGCTTTGAAAAAAAAGGGCAAGAGAGGAGAATATAGAAATGAAGGTTGCAGAGTTGTAGTAATGAAGTTCATTATATTGAAATTAATTGAAAGTGAATAAGCAAAAAAATTTTCTATTTCATTCAGCATATGTGCTTAAATAGGGGTTACAACGTTTTACAAATAAACCCGATAAAACCCTCTAATTACACATAGCTCTCAACACTTCCCCTCAAGATAGGAGAAATATATTCACTAAGCCCATCTTGTCACATAATCTAGCTAACACCATTGAACTAAGCCCTTTAGCAAGACAATCAACCACCCGCTCTCCAGTAGCTACATGACTTAGTTTCAAAAATTCATTTCAGCTTCTCTTTGATCAAGAATCTATCAATCTCCACATGTGTGGTTCTATCGTGTTGCACCGGGTTGTTAGCAATGTTGATTGCCGACTTGTTGTCACACCACAACTTCATTTGAGTTCCTGGATCTACTTTGAGTTCAACCAACAAAGCTTTCAACCACATCATCTCTAGCAACTCCTAACGCCATGACCCTATTGTTGATCTTGCTACAACTGGCTATTTCTTACTCTTCCGCGAGACCAAGTTGCCACCTACAAATATGCAGTACCCCGATGTGGACCGTCTGTCATCAGCACGACTTGCCAGTCAGAATCACATAAGCCTTCATATATCTACATGTCCATTCTTCCTGGATATCAATCATTTCTCTGGTGCAGTCTTCAGATACCTCAGAATCTGATACAATACATCCGTATGACCCTTTCTTGGATCATGCATGTAGTGACTCACCACACTTACTACAAATGAATATAGGGTCAAATCTGACATAGATTGATCAGGCGGCTCGCCAAGCTCTCGTGCCTCTCACGATCGACTGATTCATCTGCCTCTGTATTGAGCTTGATTTTCTGATCAATTTGAGAGACTTGAGGCTTGCACCATCGCATACCTGTCTTCGTGTGAAGATCAAGTACATATTTTTTTTGGGATTGGACCATCCCCTCAGGTCCATGGGCAACTTCAATTCCAAGAAATTATTTGAGCTGTCATAGATTATTTACTTCAAATTGCTTCTCCAATTTTCCATCAATTAAGTAATCTCTGCCTCATCATCACTAATGATAATTATGTCACAGACATACATAACAAGTATGGTAGTGTGCCCCTCATGTTGCGGAAAGAACACTGTGTGATCTGCATTGATCTACAAATATCTCATGTCAATTATCATTATTCTAAACTTATCAAACTAGGTTCTAGGAGACTGTTTTAAGTTATGCAGTGAATTTCTGAGCCTACACACCTTACCAGCTGTCTGGGATGTATTGAATCCTGGTGGTATCTCCATATATACCTCCTCCAGTAGCTCCCCATGAAGAAAAACATTATTCACATCAAGTTGGTGGAGTCTCCATCCACCATTCACAGCCAGAGAAGCCAGTGCCCTTACCGTGCTCTTCTTTGCTACTGGTGCAAAAGTTTCATCGTAGTCAATGCCATATGTTTGACTGTACCCTTTTGTCACTAGTGCTTTGCACCTCTCCACCTTCCCTTATGGAGTTTGTTTTGCTGTGAAGATCCACTTGCATCCAACAACCTTCTTCCCTGCTGGTAGTGGTACAATCTCCCAAGTTCGATTTTTATTAAGAGCTCTAAGTTTTTCATGCATTGCTGCTTTCCACTTGGGATCTTCTTTTACAACATGCCAACACTTGGGTACAGAGACAGATCCAATGATGCAATGTTGCTCCATGAAAAGATGAGATGTTAGAATAAAAAATATAGTTTGCAATACCAAGTTCCCACCCAAAACAATCAGGAGGATGCCCCGCATTGCTGCGGGAGTTTCTCCTTAACGTGTGGGGTGGGAGTGGACGATTGAGAAATAATATCACCTAAGAGCTTTGAATCAAATGTGGATGGTGCAGGTGTCCCAAGAGTTGGGAACGATCGAGACAAGAAACTTGTTGGCATGACATACTTTGTTTCTTCAATTGGCTTCTACCTCCATGTATACACCCTTTGTTCACCTTCAACATGAATCACTCCACCTCTGGGATCAGTCTCCTCGATTTCTGTTTCATTAGATGATTCATCCCATATCACAGGACATAATATTGCTCCCACTTGCACCACTCTAGTGTCTGCCGAGTAATCGAAGAGTGAATTCACCTCCAGAGTGTAGTATGAGCCAAACTCTCTGAAGGACACATCTATACTTACAAATTGTCTTTTCTTAATTGGGCTCCAACAGATATAACCCTTCTGAGTATTAGAATAACCCACAAATACACATTTCACAACTCTGAGATCCAACTTCTTTACAGATGGTCTGCTGTCTTGTACAAAACATACACATTTAAATACCTTTAATGGAAGTATACCACTATTGTCTCCTTTCAACATTTGATAAGAAAACTTCCACTCCAGTATTCTTGAGGGTATCCTGTTAATTAATTGAGCGGCTGTCAATACTTCTTGCCCCTATAAGTGATGTGGGATATTCATTGTCATCATCATGCTCCGGGCTTTCTCTAGAAGATGTCGATTCTCTCTCAGCTACTTTATTCTGTGCTGGTGTGTATGAGCATGTGGTTTGATGTTGTATCTCTTGGGCTGACAGGTAGTCCTCAAATGCTTTGTTGATATATTCTGTCTCATTATCAGATTTCAGTGCCTTCACAATTGCCCCATATTGGGTCTGGATTGCCTTGTGGAAATCTTTAAAACAAGTAACTACCCCACCCTTCTGTTTCATCAAGTATATCCAGATAACGCGAGAAAAATAATAATAAACGTAATAAAATAACAATAACCATTCATAGAACTAGTAGGATAAGACCCCAATACATCATAATGTATCAAATCAAATGCACCAGAGCTTCTCTTCCCAGGCCTGACATAAGAGTTTTTAGTGAGCTTGCCAAACTCACAAGCATCACACACAAGTTTCACATTTTTTGTCTTTTCATAAATAGATGAATACAACTAACTCAACAAATTAAGACTAGGATGCTCTATACTTCTATGATGTAGTAGTAACACATCCTCATCGTTCTTCTGAGATTCTCCTACTACAACACTTTCTACCATGGATGCCATAACTGAGTCCACCCCATCTTGATCCAAGTACTAGAGTCCACTATACCACGTCCAGTCCCAAGGGCCCAACCAGTCCTTTTCTCTTGGAAGATAACTTGAGGGATATCAAAAGAAACAATACATTTTAGCTGGAGAATAAAGACACTAATGGATAAGAGACTTATAGGAAAAGAATGAGCATCTCACTGTACCATTATCAACTACAGGCTGTGCTGTACCATCAGCAGTATGTATACTCTCCAGCATTGTTAGATGAGTATATGAAGAGAACTCTTCAGCAGTACCTGTCACGTGACGAGAAGCATCAGAATCTATGATCTATTCTGATGATCCTTTGGTGAAATAGAGGCACAAGCAAGTGTGTCACCAATACCTTTGCTGAAGTGAGCAAAAGTGACAATGTTTCCCCTTGTTGTTGA